GATATGTCCTGACCCGACGGGGCCAGAGTAAGGGACACAGAGGACACCCCCACCTCCACCAGCTAAATCCGAAATATCACCTGGGATGTGAGACTTCGTCTGTTCCGCCTCTTCCGTTCCATGTGTCCCATTTCTACCTCATCTTATTCCCCTCCAATTTTTTACTTTAAGTAAAATCCCTAGGTGTTAAATATTCTCTCTATTTGGCTTTTTTTTTTTTAAAACATAATAAAGAATCAAAATGAATGACCAAATGAACTATGTGTTCCAAATATCTACTTCCACTCTCAAACTGTGCACCTATATAGCCCCAGCAGGAAGGAGTTAAGAAAAAAAATGGATTAGTTCCATTTTAGTTACTACTCTAAGAAAATAAGCTGTGGCCATCGGGGGAGCTCAGACAGTAGGACTCTCGGCTCTTCAGGTCTCTGGACATTGCTTCGCTAGATATTTTACCCGGGGTCATAACAGCTTCAGGACATGTCACCCAGGATCAGAGAATGTTCATTTCTCCTTCCACCTATGTCTCCATAAGCAAAGTCGGTCACAGAGGGATTCAGCCAAGCTTTAAAGAGCAGTTCTGAATGTACAGAGTGTACGGATACACTTTCAAGGTAAAAGGCATGTTTCCAATCCGGACTCTCAGGATGTTCTCTTACCAATTTTTGGAAGGCGAGTAGGTATGTATTTCATCAAAGAACCTCTCCGGCTGGTGCAGAGGGTAGGGGCTTGGCCGCGTCCACCCACCAAACAGCACAAGCAAGTCCTTATACACCACTAAAGTAGCCCCAGCCTTAGGTGACGGATAAGAACCTGGAGGGGAGCAGAGAACGGAAAAAGTTAGCAAACAGCATTTCAAACCAGCAGCCAAGCTGTGCACAGATCTTACTGAACTGTGACAAGATGGAAACTCCCCTCTAAAAGGCAGAGAGGAAAAGATGACAAAATTAGCGAAGGGAGCATGGGAAGAAAGCTACTGCCAATGTGTGTCATCATAATTAGTACAAGCCTGAAAGCACATCTCACGTATGGCAAAACATCTGTCAGTCAGTGACAGGAAAATACTAGCTTTCTAACAGATCACTTTAAATTATTGCTTTAGTGCTGAATAAAAGCAATAATTACCTCCAAATAACTAGTAACTTTTCCCCCAGGAAGATCTACTGGGTACTTTCAAGCCACAGCATATTCTGAATCTCATTTTACAGAACTGGGAAGATGCAAAATTAACCCTACATATTCCCAGCAGGGAATAACAGTCACATCTGAGAGTCTGGAGCGGTGGTAGGTTACAGATGGCAAGAGAGAATTCTTACAATACAAAGCACCTTCTCTAATAAGTAAGTTATCTTCGATTTGTTCCATTTAAAGTTCTAAGGGCTTACTGGTCCCAGTCTTGGTTACGTAGCTCAGATGAGGCATTCTGGATTGTAGTGCTGGTGCACATAAACAGAGGGAAAGGTGGCTGTAGCCCTGGGCTTGAAATCTGTTGCAATATATTACCCAAGATCAGATGGCTTTTATTTTCTATTTTGCTAAACCAGATAAAGAGCACTGATCTCACCTCACACTCCCGTGTCGCCAGTATATTACTGAACTGTTTATAATCTTGACTTTATTTTTTTAAAAACACCTTGTCTTTGTAATTAGTCATACTACTCAGAATTGGTTCTTAACATGACTATTTTTGAACTGGCCAGAGATAGTTCACTCCAGGGCAGTGAAAGTCCTCTCTCAAGACCAGTTAGAAAAGGATCACATCCCTTTGAACTATCAGGGCACCTGCCACAATTCACTGAGAAAGTACAAACCTCCCCTGTGCTAACAGGCCGAGGTGCTGCACCGTGACCTTCCTGAATAAACAATCTGAGGATTAAGACATTCTGGATTACTTCCCAGTCAAATATTAAAATTCTCCCAGACAGAACAACACAGTGATGCTTCTCCCACAAAATACTCCCACGTCCATCACCAGATCTGAAGTGATTCCCTGTACTTTGCAGAGAAGCTTTCTAGCACCTTCTCACCACAGTACCCTGTAGCAAGGTCATAATGACATCATCTGTAAAGAGACACACCACACAAAGCAAGGATAAAAACCCAACTGTGCCTACAATTAGAGAAAGAAATTAGAAATGTACACTTAAGCAAGCCTGACTGCAGGAACTGATGTGCCGTTCTAGGCAAGCCCATGCATTTGGCCGAAAACGTTCTATTACCATCTAAAATGCTGAGCTAACGGACCCAAGCTAATTAGTTTCAAGTCCTAATAGAGCAGTTTATACAGAGGCGTATTTCAGTAGGTAATGAGAGACAGAACCAAGACTCTATTTTTGAGACGTCAAAACAGCTATTTAAACATTCCTGCCTTACAGGGGACTTGTGAAACTTCTCTCAATGTCTGTAAAAGACTTTGAGAGCTTTGGATAGAAGGTGCTACAGCTGTGCAAAGTCATTAGTCCAAGCATGAATCCCAGGTGACGGGAAGTTAGAAACCTACAGGAAAGCATCCCCCAACACAAACCAAGATGACAGACTGTCCCCTGAGCCCCGCGGGGTGAGCACGTTTTGCTGTTGCTGTCAGATGGGTGACTAGTGGGCAAAGGGGGGGAAAAAAAATACACAGACCAACTGGTAATTCACACACTAAAATATATTTACCAGTAGCTCCAAAAATATTTAGTTTCCCTAATGACTAAAATGAAGTGGTTCCGATTTGATTGCTCTATGTCACTGATCAAATTCTTAATATCCGCTTTTCATAGCTAATTACTTGGCCGCATGAAATTAAATTTTCCCAACGCAACTGTTTTGCATGGAGAGCTCCGAGAACCCACCAGTCTTAAGGAACTAGCCAAGGAGATTGTCTTCTTACACCACTGGTGCCAGGTGAATGCAGAATTGATGGATTCCCATCACAGAAAGATTTAAAATATGGTGTATGCTTAATCCCCTACCTTAGTGATAAGAATAGATATTTAGCAAAAGTTCATCTCCCACTTGAAGGGCAAATGCATCTTTCTTTTCTATTGGAGAATAAGATAAAAATAGAACATTACTCTATTAAATAAAGGCTGATCAGTTTGTAAGCCTGCAATTAATATGCTGGTACCAACTCCAAAGCTAAAGATGCATTCCGATCAGTTCTTAAAATGGGTCAGAAATTAGTTTTAAATAAAAAAAGCGTGCTAAGAGCTGGAACCCAGGAAGAAATCACTACAAAAATATAACAGACTACACGACTATACAGTCACTCGGGTAAAGTGACAAATCTTGTCCCTGCTCGGACCTGAAGGTCAAATTCCTGACTCAGATACACACACAACCCCAACCATGTCAACAGGAGATGTTCACCTGTCCACGGGGGCAGAATTTGGCCCTGATTGAGATGTTTGGTCTACTAACAGATGGTGAACAGGTGCATTACGGGAGTGGGGTTTTCTTCTGACAGGAAGGAGAAATCACAATTTGGTAAGCCACAAAAGTACCTTCGGAAGAGTTAAAGCTTTAAGAAACCATATAAATGTGAAAAGCAACAGAGGGTCCTGTGGCACCTTTGAGACTAACAGAAGTATTGGGAGCATAAGCTTTTGTGGGTAAGAACCTCACTTCTACATTTCTACATAGTTTCATGTGAAGATGGAAACATCGAACAGAATAGCTGTGAAAAACAAGTACACAAGAATACACATCCACCACACTGATCAAGTTGTGATCAAGCAAGGGAGTGACAGAAGGTTGTTTCTGTTCTGAACAATGGAATAACCACATTGCACCTTGTGGTGGCAGCAGCAGACGCTTTTCTGAGCTGGGGACTTCTGCAACTGAGAAACCACTGTGACAGGAGCCAATCTGAAAATGACTTCATCTCAACATGCTAAACCCACCATGAACTGAACACAATCTCCTTGGCTGGCGGTCTACTGACTCTCCACGTCACTTTGCATATTCAGGCATTTGAAAAGGTCAAGAGCTTCTTGGAGAAGAATGTGAAACAAGAGTTCTGACTGTGCACTCCAAAGAAGGGAACTGACAGGCAGCCTTCCCGACTTCCCAAGTCTAAAGTGTGCATAATGCACAGATGAAGTATGCCATCAAAAACGTCACCGGGACAGGCTCAACTACTTGGAGCTGCAAAATGACTCCTTCAAACAGCTTTATAAAATTTGCTTAACAGCATTTCAAAGGCAAAAAGCAAGTTCTTCAACACAGGTGGGCTTATTTCTCTTTATGACTAATTGTCTGTTAGAAGCAGAGTGACATTCAACGGTTCTCAAACTTTAGCAACCTGAGGACCCCCATTTTGATTTCAAATTTTTTGTGGACCCCCAAGCCCTCCACTCAGCCCCAGGCCCTGTCCCCACTCCACCCCCTCCCCCAAGGCCCTGCTCCACCTCCCCCGAGTGTGCCCCATCCCCACTCCTCTCCCTCCCAGCGCCTCCTGTTCCAAGGTGTGCAGGAGGCACTGGGAGGGAAGGGGAAGAGTTGATCTGCGGGGCCTGCAGACCCCCTGGAGTACTCTCATGGACCCCCATGGGTCCGTGGACCCCAGTTTGAGAAACGCTGCACTACAAGGTAAGTTGTCAACCACAGACTCAGATCTAGTGGGCTCGGTTTTAGAATAAATTACTAGTGTGACAAAGTTCCTCCTCTACCTTGGTGGGTCCTGCGCTTATTGGCGGATTTGTTCGCTTCACAGATTCACCCTGTGGGTCAGGAAACAGTCCAGAGACCTTCCCCTCTGGTAGAAGCTATAGTTCAGGTCAATTCCTCCTGTGTTTGATCAGGAGTTGGGAGGTATGGGGGGAACCCAGGCCCGCCCTCTACTCCGGGTTCCAGCCCAGGGCCCTGTGGACTGCAGCTG